GACGCTCGCTGGCCGAGCGGCTGGGGGCCCACCTGGGGCCTGCGGAAGGGGACCACCGCCAGGTTCTCTGGGCAAAAGGAGCGAGCGGCTGGCCAAGGCCACCACCAAGAAGGCCCTGCGGCTAGAAGTCTCCGCAGGCAGCCACAGCTCCTGGCCGCTCTGTGCTCCTTGGGATCCCACACCGTCTCAAGTCCAGAACGGCATAAGCCTGCAGAATGGCACAAGCCTGCCTGGGGAACATCCTTCCCTCGCTCCTTCCCAGGGCTGTGGCGCGCCACCGGAGCTGATTTCAAAAATGGCAGAATTTTCCATCTTTTGTTCAAAGGATGCAGGGATTCAGTGCTGCCAGCGATCGGGGAAGATGAGAAGAGAAGAGTGGAGGCCGAGTTGCTGGAGAGAGTGACTGAAGCTTTCCTGCCAAAACGCGATCTGTCCCGGAGCGAGCCTCTTCCTCGAGCCCCCAGAGTCTCTGTTTTAAGTACTAAAATGTTCCAGGGAACGAACAAGCGGCAGCTTCGTCTTCCTACTTTAGCCTACAGTGACTAGGCTTTTGCTGCATGTTTTTATCTTGAGGACTCAGAATTCAAAGGTTTTAAGTTTTTCGTAAGATCCTGGACACCTAAGGGAGGACACGGACAGGAGCCGCTGGTGCGGCCCAGCGGTCAAGGCCTGCCTCACCGCGCCACGTGGGGGCGGGAGGAGTGCGGCGCCCCCCTCCTCGCTCAGGGAGCCGTCCTGCCCCCGCCCGAGTGTGCAAGCACGGCTGGGCCTCTGCCTGTGTGCACACCGATGGGGGCGCTCAGCACGTCTGCCCGAGCCCACTTCCCAGGACACCCAATTCCGGCCGGGTGCAAGCCACGCGTGGGGCCTCGGGAAGGAGGAAACACGCGTGCCCACCCCTGGGGGTGGCGCTGCGCCCCAGGCCTGGCAGCCTGCGAGGCCGGTAGAACAGCACTTTGCACAACTGGGGCCATGGGAGCCGGGCGCCCCAAGGACGCGGCAGGCTGGGCCGCCTCCCAGAGGCCGCCTCCCCCAGAGCCCGGCTCCCGGAGCCGCCCGCCTGCCCAGAGCGCGCGTGACCTTTCCTTCTCCTTAGCTCTTTGTTCATGTCCAGAATCACGAACGCTAGTGAGGAGCTGACAGGGAGGGCGGATGCTGGCGGCTCGGTGATGGAGCGTGCATTCCCTGGCAGGCGGCGTGTGACTCATCCCACTAAAATCGATATCGGACATCCTCTGGGCGGTATTCAGCCAGCTGTAAACTCAGCCGTCCTGACTCAAAGTTAACAAGAACCGGTGCTGACGATGTTCCAATCAAACCCTGTGAGTCAGAGCCGGGACATGGGGTAGCCAGGGGTCCCGGGGCGCACGGCCGCTGTGGTGGGCTCAGACCCACGCATGTCGGCTGCGCCGCCCCCGGCGAGGCGGAGGGATGGGTGCCC